CTGCTGAACAGAGACGTTACTGATCTTGTTAAATGGAATAGGTGTATATGCCACACTCGCGTTTGAATCAAAACTTACCAATATAAGCTCTTATTATGCTGATCATATTAATCACTAATTCTGAAGCTAAGCAAAAGGTTGCGTTGTTATTTCCAGTGTCCTACTGACTGAAGCACACAATTCATGCATATATTTTACATATTCTATTATCCGTATCCTCAAATACAATCCAAAATTTAAATAAAGCCTAAGGATGAACTTTTATCAGGGACATTACCATACCCTCTTAATAAAAAATTAATTACATTATACTTGCTCATGTAAAATCTATTAATGCCTGCTAACCTAGATTTTAAAAGACTAATAAATTATTATAAAAGACTTGAAATGACTGACAGTAATGTAGGTACATACAAAATAGTCTGCATGTGCTCAGATATCATTTTGATGATCATTCTAAACAGAATACTCAACCACAGTTACTGTCACATGTTCTTAAGAGTGCCCTTATTCTCATCAGATTATATAAAAATAAATGCAGGAGTTATTTAATCTCCCCTGGCGATATTTACTCTTTGACTCTTTTAATTCTTTGTTCTATGAAAGGGGTTTCAAACAAAAACTGAAGAGGAGCCTATGGAACAGATCTTGGCAGTGCTCTACAGGGTAACAAAGTAACTACCTGACTTTGGTGCCAAATTTTACTGGTGAACATTAAGCTTGTCCATAACCAGCACTCCTGAATTCCTAGGTCTCAGCTATGCCATTTTAAAACCAGTCTCATTCAAGTATAGTACCTTTAAATCTCCATGCTACTCATTCAGATGTTTGGCCACATTGCCCAATACTGACTTCTACACATGGGTCTACAAAATTGTCTGCTGCAAGGGGAAGAGCCCAGGCTGTATCCACTGATTACAGTATTTCCTGCGGGGGTGCAGGCGCTTCTTGCTATGCCAGTTGGCCTAGGGGAAAAAAAAAAGTAAAATAGGAGACCTTTCAGAGCATCCCCTCCGAAGCAGTAACTATCCAGAACTGAGAACTCACATCTTCCTACGATCTGAAAACTGAAGTCAGTCCCTGTTAATAACAAGGCAACGCTGACACCTGGCAGGAGTTACCACGCGTGACAAAAGACTCGCTTCTCAGGCTGCTTCCACTCTTCTCCTATTCAACCGGCACCAGTTTGACAATGACAGCAGAAGACGACATTAAATGCCTTTCAAAGACACAGCCAGGAGATCTCCTGGGCCTTGGGGTTGTTGTTTTGGGTTTTTTTGGCCACAGGAACCGAGGCAGCACCACCAGCGTACTTCTGACCGGCCCAGCAGGAAAGCTGTGGCCACACCGGCCAGACACATCAGGCCACACCGGGACACGACCCATCTCCCCACACCCTCCTGCTTCCCCTCGGGCGCGACACCCGCTGGAGCCGCCTCACAGCCGGGGATGGGGCAGGGAAAAGAGAGACGTGACCAGCGAGGGCTCGAAAGCCCCGCGATAACCCCCCCCTCACCTCCGCCGCAGCACGGGTACCGCTTTGAAGACATCCTCCCGCTTCAGGACGGCGCAATCCCCCTCACAGATGCGCGGCCCCGGCGCCGGCGCGGCCTCCCCCG